TTTTTTTCTTGCAATCTCCCTGAAAATCCTTCACCCCAATTGTGAAAAACCAAATCCGAAACCAGAAAAGAAAAAATAAAAAATAAAAAACACAAAAAGGGCAGAACGGAAGCAAAGCCGAGGCCTTTCTTTCCGCTCATGGCTACAACTCTGCCATCATCCCCCTGGGGCTCCGTTCTCCACCACCGGAGGGAACCCCTTCAAAGACGCGCCGTAGTCTGTGCCTTCAGGCGCAGCGACTTCGACCGCTTTGCTCGACGCGTGACCTCCGGCGAGGCCTGGAGGGACGCCTGGCGCTCTGCCAATGACGGCTTTGAATTGTTAATTTTCGAGGCGAAGAAGACCGCCGAACGCATTGACCGCCGCTACTCTGTCTCACGCGGCCTCTCATCCGTCGTTCAATCTGCTTCCAACCGTGCCCGCGAGATTGATCGAGAGTTCGAGATTGGGACTCGTTGGCGAACTTTTTCTATGGATTTTAGTAGAAATTGGCCTAGGGTTCGTTCTCGCTTTCCCCTTTTCATTCCTTCTTCGCATTCTTACATTAATTTTGTCACTGCGTTGTTTGGAGGAATGGGGTTTATTAGTTATGAGTTAAAGTTTCAGTCTTTGTTTGATCTTAAAGTGTAGAATGTTTTTAGTGGTAGAGGATGTTGTGTCGTTGTAAGTTGCAGAGTAAGAAAGTAGCTAACATTATTAAAGCTTCACAAAGCACTTCAGTTTTTTATTAATTCTTTGCTGTTACCTGTTAGACCATAAGGATATGTGTTGTAGAATGCACTTGCTTTTCCCAAAAGATCCTTACTTTCACTGCTGTTTCTTTTGTTTCTTTGTGTTATTCAATTTTTTTTTTTCTGAATTTTGATGCTTTTATTTTGCTGATCAATGAAAAAGAAGTTAGGTACTCAGCTCACATATGTAACTCATTTCTTGCCAGTGTCATCATATATAATTGTTTTGTTTTTATTGATATCCTTGCAGTACAGGAAGCAGCTCAGTGATTTCTTGGATACTCCTCTAGGAAAGAGTTTTGCTGTAAGTAGCAGATTAGCCTTTTGCTTTACATTTCTTGGATGCACGTGAGGCCAGTATTTGGTGCTCAATCTTAAATACAGAAAGGCTACTGACAATTCTGTATTCCATTGATTCTTAATTTTAATGGATGGCTAAGGGGGTTTATATATATTTCATAATTCAAATCTGATTCTCACTTTGAGATTTATATACATCTTGCCTTTCATACTTTTTTTGGATCTCTTCCTGACTTTCTGGAAAATATAACCTTGAGCAATTCTATCTTGGTGAATGATAACATATGTCAATGTGTTGTTTTCCATTGGTTTGAAATAATTTTATTGTGTAAGTCTGGGTGCCTTGGTTATGATCTTTTGATAGCTAATTCTGTAGTTATCTAATAGTCTTTATCTTTTTGTAGACAATTTTCTTCATCTGGTTTGCAGTATCTGGATGGCTGTTTCGGTTTTTGATATTTGCAACATGGTTCCTGCCTCTTGCTGGACCCCTTCTCATTGGCACTGTTGCCAATAATCTTGCCATCAAGGTATCACTGGTTTCTCTAGCTTTGTACTTCTTTCTTTTTTTTGCCAACCTCTAGCTTTGTACTTAAACTGTAGAGTGAATATGATATTTACAATAATTTGTTTGACAACTTTTTTTCTTGATAAAATTTTATCTTTATATCTTAAATTTTATGGTCCCTGCAATGGTGGCACTCATCCTGATTTGAGAGTTCTATTAGGGGCATGTATGTAACAATAGGATCAACATCAGATTTCAGTTATGTGCTTGGAAATGTCTCATAGCTTTTATTTTTATTGTGATTGTATTAATAACTAACATTTTATTCGGGCTTGAGGAAATTTAAATTACTTGGCCATCACTAAGCACTTGCCTTGACCCAAAAATCAGGGAGTCCAGGGCTAAGATTCTGTTTCTTTTTTAATAACTAACATTTTATAAACAAAATATTCTTTGCTTCGTCATGGTTTCTGACCAACTAAAGCTTAGAATTGCATTTTCAGTTTTGATACTTAGGAAACTGTATGGTTTAATCAGTCACAAAGAAGACCATTGATGCATACAACCCCTTCCCACAGTAAAGGTTAGTTTCCTCTGGAGGGAAGAAGGGTACGGTAGTGTTTTTTAACTCATGCATTTTTCATGCATAGTTAAATGGAATACAAGCAGTTGGTTACACTAAGTTTATATGGTTTCATGGGAAAGCTCTTTAATGCAAAGCTGCATGGTAGAGTTCATACTTGTTAGTCTTTCTCATTTTTTTTTTTTTTTTTGCATTTCATCATCCATTGTACATGGTCTATCCTAGAACACTGGATCTGGATGCTGCCAGATAGTGGGGAGCTAAATGCTTTAGGTTACAATTTCTTCTGTTATGAACCTTTGATCATTTAAATGTGATATATCATATAGTGTACAGAATCTCAAATTATATAATGATATCATTTTTAGTATAATTATTTTAAATAATTCAATTATTGCAGCCTGTATTATAGTTACCATCCGCATTAGTTTGGAGGGTGTTTTTCTTTTTTTTTTTTTACTTATGATTGTGCCTTCTTTTGCTTCTTCCTTTTTTGTGTTTAATGTCATGTTGTCTTTCTATTGAAACTGGACAGGGGGCTTGTCCTGCTTGTAAGAGGCAGTTCGTTGGTTACAAGAACCAAATAATACGGTGTGCAGGCTGTGGAAATATTGTATGGCAGCCACAAGGGGACTCCTCTTCCAGAGGTGGACCTGGTGCGAAAGGTAAAAAGTCCGAACCTGAAATTATCGATGTTGAATTTGAGGAGAAATGAATAATGACAACAAAAATTACTCGAAATATCCAAACGATGATTCGTTTTTTATGCCATGTGCCACTGGCCAGAAGCAAAAGAGGTTCTGAATCATGTCTCGCTTGTTCCTAGTGATAATGATATCTTGTCTTCCAAGGGTTCTACTTTTATAGAAGTTACATTTATCTCATGTATTTTTGAAGTAGTTGCCAATAATAACTGTTACTGAAATTGTACAGCTTCTTCTGTAACTTTTATTTTTATATTTCTTGTATATACAAGTTTAAGAAAGCAAAGAAAACAAAAGGAAAAAAAAAAAAAAAAGATCCCTTTTTTTCTTTTTCGGTTCGCGGAGAAGATTGAAGAGCCCGTTCGTTTTTTAATTTTTAATTTTTTCTTTTGTAAAGTTGTATTAATGCACTAACTTGTTTTTGGGTGATCTTAAAAAGAGAAATGTTAAGTACAGTCGCCTTTTTCTTGCACTTTATAGCACTTTTTCATGTAAAAGGACCATCTGGATTTTGTTAGCTGGGAACTTAGAAGTTAGAATTGCAAGTTGAGAATTGCTACAGGGCCATTTGGAGAGGGCAAAGGAAAGGTGATTGCCTATAGCAACCCTCTCTTAAAAATATACCCCCACATCAATTTTATATATTTAAAAGAATTAATTTTTT